GAGAGAGTTGGGGTTGGTTCAGCCTGGAGAAGAGAAGGCTCCGGGGAGACCTTAGAGCAGCTTCCAGTGCTGAAAGGGGGCTACAGGAAAGATGGGGAGAGGGACTCTTGATCAGAAAGTGTAGGAACAGGATGAGGGGTAATGATTTCTCAGCTGAAGGTAGATTCAGATGAGATATTGGAAGAAATGTTTTCCTGTGAGGGTGGTGAGGCAGTGGCCCAGGTTGCCCAGAGAAGCTGTGGATGCCCCATCCCTGGAGGGGTTCAAGGCCAGGCTGGATGAGGCTTTGGGCAACCTGGGCTGGTGGGAGGTGTCCCTACCCATGGCAGGGGGTGGGACTCAATCGTCTTTAAGGTCTCTTCCAACCAAACCACTCTGCAATTCTATTAAAATTCTAAAATGTTGTCTTTTTAAAAATCAACTTGTTTTCCCAAGGAAAAATGCAAAACTTCATTGTTGCTTCTAAAATTCAGTTTTCAAGAATGAAGAGTTTACGATGATGGTGGCTGTCTGCCAGTACCCAAACACTCTTTGGTACGTTTAAGGTGCAGGCACATGCTCAAGCACGGTGGGGGGGGCTTTGCTTTTGGTTTTATTTACAGGAAAGCAAGAAAATAACTAACTTAACAAGTGGAGAGGCATTAACAAGTTTTCATCATATGGAAAGGGAGTCAGCAGCAGGCTTTTCCTGGCATAACCCTAAAGCAGCATTGCTTGCCATTTACGTACAATTAGTAGGTCGGGAATAGGAGACAGCACTAGTGAGCGGGGTGCTTTACAGAGCAAGAAACACACAGCTCAGGGAACCTGGAGTCTGACATGACCTCATTGCCGGAATCTCTGCAGATCTATGCAGGGCAACAGGGTATGAGCTACAGTAATAGTGATTTGCGCATTTAACTAATCTAGCATTTTGCATTACAGGACCGCTGACATTTTCACAAGGAAGAGCTCATGTACAGTGCTGTCAATAGAGTCAGTTCATACAACTCTCTAATAAGAGCAAGAAAAAGAAAAGAGTGGATGATTTTTTCATATCTAATGATACACTTGAAAACAAGGAGATATTACAAGTGCTCATCAATATTTAAATCACTTTTAAAGTCAGTTCTCCCTGCAGCTGAGATTTAAGTGGTAATACTCTTCTGAGGTACCTTACAGCCTGATGGCCTTTTAAAAATTAAAGATTAAAAAAATATTTTTGTACTCTTGTTCAGAAAACAAACCTAAGAATTTTTTTAAAATTAGCTATCTAAAAATCAAAAAGATTAAATAAGACATGAACATTTTTAGGAGGATTTTTGCCTCACCTTCCTTCCCCCATCCCCCCCGCCACCCCCCACTTTTTAAAGCCAGACATGATTTACAGCTTCATTTATTCCCATAAAGATAAACTATTTTATTTTAAATGTACAAAGAGACAAATTCTATTCTCAGTTTCTGAAGATCAGTACAAATCCCAGAGTCTTGCACAGTGCTTTTGCAGTTACTCAAAACACATCGATGCACTGTTGGGGAGGAGATGTTTATCCCATTATTTCAATGTTGCACTGAAAAACAGGGACAGGACATACTTTCGCCTGCCTTAATACAAGAACTGCCTGATTTGGTGCCATTTTGCAACCCTAAGTAAATCTTCATTACAATTAGAAAACAAGATAATAAATTACTGCAAGTAAAGTGGACAGCCCTAAAAACCACAGGAAGGAAAAATAAGGAGCCAGAAATACGGTTTGACTCTGTCACAATTTTATTAACACACATGGGAACAATTCAGCAATTTGTCTGGAGCACAAGGCCTCTCTTTGCAATCCCCCTCAGATAGAGCGGCTGAGACCAACCCCTGCCTTACCTAAGGAGACCCCGGAATCACCATCAGGCCTTGGCTGCCCTTCCTCGTGCAAAGGCCGGGCAGATAAAGCAAAGGGACTACATCTGAACCAAACATCAGGAATTTTGGTTCCACTCTGACATCCTTAAGAGCTCTTGTCTTTGGACATGTCATCAACCCTGAGTCCTCAGGGAACCATATCTTTCGCTGATCAATACTCATTCAAGATCTCTGCCAAACTGCAACAGAAGTGAATCTGATAATCTGATCTTCCCAGGGGAATTTTCGTGTTGTTAATAAGTGAGAAGGGAAAAAATCCCACTCTGCCCAGATCACTTATAAAGAGTGGAACTTTAAAATCAGCACGCCAAGGTGGAAAGTCACAAAATGACACCTACACAGCAAAAGCACCATGAAAAAGAAAGAAAAAGCCTTTGTTACTACTGCAGAAAAGAACCTTTAATGAAGAGGGAAGGTTTAGATTTTCTTTACCACTTCTTTTAGGAATTCAGCATTAGTAGATTGATGCTGCATCCTTTTGCCCTGTTAGTGGCAGAAAATAAACCAAATAGCAGTCAAACTGCTTTTAATCTTTATGAGATGTGAGTTCCCCAACCCTTCTCGGCCTTTTACAGGTCAGCTCTTAATAACTGTACTGAATGAACTGTAATAATTGTACCGTAATGACTCATACTAGTACATACCCACCTCTGTAGGCACATATCACACCGCTGTCAAGTACATCACTAATATCTGGAAAATGATTTCAAGGAAAACTATTTCCTCCTTTAAAATATAGCTGAAAGTTGAGGAACGTACTGAGGGATCCACAATTTCCTATAAACCACCCATAACTGAAAGCAGAGTATAATCGTTTTGTACAACACGACTCTGCTCAGCTGAGCACTACTCGGAAGGAGGCTTTCTCACAGTAAGATAAGTGCATTACATCCTATATGAAAAACCCCAAAACATGCTTCTAGAAATACTTTCAGGAAAAGACAAGCAAGATAACTAAAGATCGAGATGGTAGCAGTGACATTACAGACTCAAGTAAGAGTATTCCCCTTCTGATGTCACAGGCTGACACAAACTGGTGATCCCTGGCAGTCCTGTGCGCACCCCGAAACAGCCCCTCACAACAGCCAGTTAAAGTACCTCCCTCGTAGCTGCTGTTTCGGTAGTGTTTCTATGAAAACACACCAGCAAAAGTTGCTGTAGCCATCCAATTACCATTTCTGCAGTATTTTATCATTTCTGTGGCAATCATTTTAGACTTAATACGAATGGTGTGGAAAACAACAAAGTTTTAACTTCAAGCTGTGCCTGTAAACACCCCTAGGAAGACAGGCAGAGCTCACTGCTACTGTTCAGACATCCCTAAAATCACATCACGGCATGGCCACTACAAGTACTCTACTTTATTCATTCACTGAAGTGTTTGGTTACTAGTGTAATCTCAGTGTGCCAATTTTTAAGTTGTAACTTTTCCTGATGTATTGAAATATTATACGCAATGCAATAATAGAACAGCATCTTCATCTCAGGAGAGAACATGCCAGTTGCTGGTATTCACTAATTTTAACATCTTTCATAATGTTTGTCTTGTCTGTTTCAGCTATATTATCTTTGTCATGAACAGAACTATGATATAGGCTGTAGCTCTATATATCATCCATAGACTATACTTCACATTCTCAAGCCTTAACAGAGGCCAAGTTCAAGCTGCAAAAATATTACATAGATTTTTCTAAAAACAAGAAATGCAGAGGTCCTCAAGTTTCTCTACAGTGAAAAAGCAACAATTTTTTTCCTCTACAGACAGCAGTTTGCATTCAATTTAAATTCTCACCCTGCCTACTAAGGCATTAGGGGAAAAAAAGCATGGAAAGGCTGATGGCAGCTTGCCATCAAGATATAGCATTGCCTGGACCCAAAGGAAAAACCTTCTGAAATAGATTTTTTCCTGATGAGAACTGCAATGGAAATAAAATAACAGAAGTGATGAGCATCATTTAGCAGCAGCTTTTGGAAACATTTTGATGGGACTATAAACACAGTCTCATAAACTAAGTACTATAAAATAGAATATTTTCCTTTGCATTTTCTTGTCAATTTTGTATATACACAGAAAAATTACACAGTAAATAACTCCTAGCTGTTGCTAGAAAGGCTTTCAATTTCCTTGTCATACTCCATTTACCTGTTTTTCCATTAAAAACTGTCAGTTTTGAATTTTTAAGACCAAAAATGCAGGAGACAGCATCTACAAGTCCAGTGAAGTTCAAAGTATTATCTCCTTTTGGATTTTCCAGCAGCAACACACCATCTAAAACCAAAATTAAGAAATTAAAATGCAGTTTGGAAGCAACATCCAAATTTCAATGATCTTCTAATGACTTTTTCTAATTACTTCCAGGGAGTTTCTAAGCTAAGTTCAAACTGGCAACACTACATCTGCCAGCATTTTTTTTAGTAAGAGTTTAACTTCAAATTTGGAGTATGGAAGTTGTATTTGTTTATTAGCAAAGCAGTCAAATTTTCACGTCACTGAATTATAATCCAGTATTATTATTGATGAAAAACTGACAGACTGTGTGCCCTCTGAGATGTTCACCAGCTTATATAGTTCTGTTCATTATTATTCAGTAAGTAGGTTTGTAACAACGTTAAACAAGGCACACTTACTTTGACACAAACTGTAAACACATGGAGGAAAAAGAACTCCAGAGAGCGCATTTAGTTTTCTCTCCTTTTAATATATTAACTCAACCCTGTAACACTTTTAGCAATGTCACTACACTCATCTTTTCATTATCCGTTATTCATTATCGTTATATTCTCTAGTTTTAGTGTTAAAAGTATAGAGCTGAAAAGAATACCTAAAGTTTTTCAAAACCAGTATCTCCTCCACAGAAAGGCATTGCCTACATTTACAATACTGCATCAGGAATTAAACACTCTCAAGGTACACACTCTGAGCGTGGGTGAACGTCCACACACAAAACCAGACTGTGGACGCCTCCACATAGACATTCACATCCAAACCCTTCTGCAGAACATCAATAATTCATGTGCACACCTGAGTATTTACTTCACATCACTATCAGAAGACATCATGGACAACATGTGGTTTTGCTTTTAATAAACTTATTTTCAAGAATTATTTAAAGCTACTATTGGAAGGGAGTTTGCCCCATCTTCCAAATAAATTCGTGGCCCCAACATTCATCACGCCGTTTTCCAAACAATCTTTAACACCATCACTGACAAATCAAACCCGGCACATTCCTACCTTGCTCTGTCCCATTAACGCAAACTTTGAGGTTGACGTAGGCACAGGCTGGACCAACACACTGACACAAACCGCCCCTGACGAGTGTAATTTCTAGCTCTGATCCCTTCAGCTGAAGAAAGAGGAATATTATCATTTGAATATTGTTTTATTAAACAAACAATATTTTCCTGAAACAAACATAAAAATCTTGTCTTATTATACTAAATGTGACTTACAATAAAATAGCAACTTCTGCCACATCTTCTTTCAGAGACAGAGCGCTTCAAATACTGATTTGCCTTTAATGTATGGTAGAGATACAGCAGTATTTAACACATAAGGAAACCAAAGAGGAACAAACAGCCCAATTTCCACAAGTGATGAGCAGTCACGACAGTCTCCCAAAATATAACCCAAAAGTGAATATTTAAGAGAGAACGACTATTCCAGAGGTAGTTCAGAGCACCTGAAGGCAGGACCCTGTCTGGAGAAGCCTTCACCTGTCCCCGAGGGGCTCCTGCGAACAGCCAGGGACGGCGCTGCCTTGATCTCACATCAGTATCTCCCCATTAGCAATTAGTGACTCAATTAAAACTTCAAACACCCCAACAAGAAATGGAAAAAGCATCTTCCTTTGCAAATGAGGCACAGCATGAGGAGACTTGAGCACCTGTAGCAATACTACAGGAACAGACTTACGTGGTAGAGGCCTTAAACCACAGCTTTAAGCCTGTGCTTTTTCCAAGCACAAGTCTTTTCCCGAGCTAAGAACAGGCTGGAATTACTCCTGCACTGAGACCAATTTTCATGAGAATCACACTCTAAGAGGTCTCTTAATTACAATTTATAATTAAACAAATATCATACAGCAATCACTTAGATGAACAACTATCATTTTTGGCCAAATTTTTTGTAAATTTAGATACTGTCTTTGTTAAGAGTCACACTCCAAGGGGTAATGAGTTCAAACTTGGAAGTGCCGCTCTTTGCTGAGCTCCTGTTACAAACTAGAGAAAGATACTTATGGAGCAGCAAATCTTATTTTGTGTTTACTCAATTCTACCAGCAATTTAAAATTCATTTTTCAAGTAGCTGATTTTTGTTCTCAGTATTTGCTGAGCAACTGCTGGGTTTTTTTGTTGTTTCTCAGAGCAAGTCTTTGGGAGAAGAGCTCATAATTAAAGCCTTGTATCAAAAATTGATCCAGGGTAATTTCACAGAAATACTGATGCTGAATGTAATCAAAATACTTGTAGAAAAGTCAGAGTGCATTTCATTTTTGTCCATCTCCACATATATTCAACATCATGCAGACCTGTTATTCCTCTTAATAGTGTCCAGAAATTTGATGCAGTGTTCTTGTCACAGTTGACTTAACTTATGAACTTGTGTGGAATTACAACACATCATTCTTTTCCCTTGCACCTGCTTTTATATCTGAAAAATCTATATAATTGTCTATATAATCATCACTATAAAGCATTTTCCATGTCAATGCTGCTTATCAAACCCCACCAACAGAAGACAGTTGATGCACAATTCAATTTGAATTCACATCTTCATAGTCTTTGTGCCTGGAACTGCAAGTACAAAGCACAGGGCAGTGATGACTAAGGCAGACGACTGACCATAGCCATGTCTGCTGCACCAAACCACAAACCCACTGCACCCGGCTGCAGCTATCCTCAACTCTCCACAAAGGGCCAGGCTTCTACACTTAAAGGATTTCTAAAAGAAAGGCTTTTTCATTTCAGGTATTTTTATCCACTGCTCTTAATGTGACAAGCTACTTGCGGCAGAACACAGTACGGAGTCAAACATCTGTCCCAAGCAATCCATCTCCGCAGCCCCAGGAAGCACGACTTCCAAGGAAGACTTTGCAGTTGCACTAAAATCTCCGTCTGTTTCTCTCTGCAACCTCTATTTTAAAGTCCGAGTATCTGACTGACAATTCTGAGGCACAGCAAGTCTGTAAGCACAGGAAACGTCTAAATGTGCAGAAGGCAACCCAGGCGGCAAAGACCACAGATTGGCTCCCTAGGGAGGTACTTTGTTGTGATTGAAACTCCTTAAAGTAAAATAACAACAAACTCTGTGTTTACTTACAAAGTTTTTCTTTGCCTCCATTTGCCACACATAAACTATACAGTTTCAGTACACAGAACTTGCAATAACTCCCTGCTAATGTGTTTGAGAAAACCTCCACAGCCACGATTTTAAGCTGACAGGTCGGCACTCTCATCTCTATGACTATTATGGGATTATTACATTTCTAGAAACTTAGTCATCAATTGCAATAGCCACACAGAACCGTCTATCATATAGTGTCTTATTTCAGCTATAATTTTTTTTTATGCAGTCTGACACCTGGCATTTGTGCAAATGCGTAGCCACAAACCTCCTATCTCCAGTTTACACCCTGGCTCATCATTTCCAAAACCAAACAGCTGTCTGCTTTTTGCTGATATCCAGACAACAGCTATCAGTTGTATCCATAATAACCAACACCTTCTGTCAGGGCAAGATTTCATCTTTACGTAGACAGCAGCATTATTTAAAACTAATCCAACAGACACATCTTTCAGCTTTCCATAATCTTTTTCTTCACTCAAATCTGCTAAATTAAGGTTTCGAAAATAGAAAAGTAACAGTGGAGAGGAACCACACTTGCACAGGCATGAAAGTTTTTATGAAAAGACACAGTGACCAACACTAAAGCTCATGTACTAGGCAATTTCAGAGGCAAGCATTCAGACAAGTGTTTCACAGCACTAAACTTTTTTTCCCAGCTGCGTTTACATTCTAATTCAGATTTGATGTTGACTTCACATCCAACTGCCCACCAGAAGTATCCCAATCAAAAAAGTACCTAGAATATACAGCAAAATATTTTTACCGATTTCGCAACCATAATATTCTCCACTTGTACGTGGTTTTTTTTTCCCCCGTGTTTGTCACTAGATTAAACTAATAGTTTTGGAAAAGGCCAAACAGAGCTTTGTTTCAAATCTGTACAACCTTAGAAGTGTAATTAATAAGTATAAAACACTTCCTTACACATCCTGTTATTAAGCTGGATTAAAATACCTGCTTTCCTTTCAACTATTCTCAGACCATCAAGCCATTCTGTAAATCAAATTTTAAGTCTGACATATCATAAGTTCTTGTCTTTCTGGTCTAGCAAGACATTTAGATTGAAGAATATTTCATCCAAAATTCTTCTAGGAATGCCTTTTGAACATAGTAAGTTTTAATAAAACCATGGCAAAAGTATTCTCAAAACATTTGAGAGGAAACAGTCAAAGAAAACACAGGAAATAGTTCAAATCTGCTACTGAAAGAATAAGCCAATCTGCAAAACTGCACTGCTACAGAAGACTGAACTTCAGCAACACAGGGGAAAAAACCAAGCATCCTCTAACATTAATAACTGAAGTTGGTCTTAAGACAAAAGGCAAAATGTAGCCTCAAAGAAGAACATTTCTAATACAAAAGCATATTAACTTAAAGAAATCTGAACAACAATATTTTTGCTGTCTAAACAATGCACTAATCCAAGTACCAATAACTGTGTGTATTAAGCTTACACAAACAACTACTTAACATTTTGGTACCCAAGCAGCTTCATTTTCAAAAATACTACACATACAGAGCCCAACTGTTTTCTTTTTTAAACCAAAAAGACTAATAGGAAATTATAAATATAAGAGAATATCCACTGTATCCCACAAATAAATATTTACATGCAGTTTTTCTGTAAACGATGCAATTTGTTCAGATAAAAGCAGGTAACAAAACAAACAAAAAAAGGCAGTTAATGTTTTTTCGTTCTTACTTGGGTTGTTTCCTGGATAAGAACTTCTTTTGAGGTAGGCACCGGGTAAGGCTTCAGGGCAGCCTTTATTGTTGCAAAAATGAAATCCGTATGTTCCTTAATAACAGTATCCAGGTAGTCACCTTCTGGATGTGATCTGTAGTACACTGTAATCTCATCCGTAGGAACCAGATTTCGCTGTAGGATACACCAAATATACTATTACTGATGGCAAGATGACTTTCACATATACAAACTAAAAGAAGAATACTAGTTGAGTTAAAAAATAAACATCTTGAATATTTACCAGACATTTGTTAAAACTTTCCACAAGAAAATTTAGAATAAAAATTCTTTTGTCAGAATAGAAAGAGGCTTGAAACATCATGACTTTTTCTTAAAAAAATCCTGACTGAAAAGCAGCATACCTTACTTTAAACGTCTTGCTTATAAGTTCCTTTACCAACTCTACCCCTTAGTGAACGGAAAGCCTACCAAATTTATTAAAAAGCTTTTCTTCGTTCTTTACTGGCTTTTACACAACCCCTTAGCCTGAAATTAAACCCCTCACTCTTTACTGAACAATTGCTCCATCAGTGACATCGTCGTAACACCCAACAGTTCCCAAGACACGTCGGTATTGCTTTGGAAGGCAGTGAGCAGGCTTTTCAGTTTTCACACTAGTTCTGTCACATCTCACATACTAACATACACTTCAGAAAAACACCAATCCATGTGAATGGTACACTTATTAACGCTGAATTACAGCAAATTCCTGCTTCAGTAAGAAAACAGTTTCAAGGAAAAAAAAAAGAGCAGTACAAAGAAAACTTTATTTCTAAAATCAGCTAAAAATAATGACTGTCCTACACTTATTAACGCTGAATTACAGCAAATTCCTGCTTCAGTAAGAAAACAGTTTCAAGGAAAAAAAATAGCAGTACAAAGAAAATTTTATTTCTGACATCAGCTAAAAATACTGACTGTCCTAATGCCACCTGAGTAATAGTTATTGTGGATCCAGAATCTGTGTGTGGTTTTTATTGCAGGTACGCTTTCATAACAGGAATGGCAATGAAAGAATGACAGAATAATGCACATTAGCATCATGTGAAATATTAGGCAAGACTAAGTATTTTGATATTCATTTAAGTGAGAATAAATTACAACCTTATGTCATTACAGAAGTAAATTTAAATTGTCTTTAATTTATGAGAGAGTTTTCTTTTCATGGCCACATTCCTTCCTGGTTTTATTTTATACAGATACAGATCTGTAAAGTTTATTTCTGTATATATTTTGGTATAAATTTCTAATTTTTCATGTATGCTTATACTGAAGATTCAGGCAGTCCTAACTGTAAAGACGTCTTTTCCCAAAAACATGTCCCAGGAAAATTTTCTCTACGTAACATTTAGAGATGCTGCAAGATTTCTTCAGGCATAAATCTGGAAAAGATAAAAATTCTAGTGCATGGGCCACCAAGTTATTCAAGCAGGAAAACCCTACATATATCATAGAAGAACACTTCCACATGTGCAATGTCCATGTGTGTGAGGGGGCAGGGGACTGTTTTATTTAGTGGGTTTTTTAAAAACTTGCAGGTTCTGAAACCTTCAGAATTCTTTGCATTGGGTTACGTATTAGTTAATGTCCTCTCCAGATTAAAGGCTTTTTTGACTTGCCATCACCTCCATGGTGACCACGCTTTCCTGGCACAAAATGGAGAAACCAAGTGCCATGCTTTCTGGATTAGTATTGTAGCGTGAAGGAAGTTACATTGGATCAAACTGCTATAACATAAAGGTCAGACAGCATCATTTGTATGGATGAGGAGAACAATTTAGAGCAGAATCATTAATGCAGGTATACAAATCAGTGCCAGAAATGCCTCCTGCAATTTGCTGAGCCGCAGCTTTGTTTCTTTTAGCAGTCCTGGCCTCAGATGTTTCAGCTGTCACTAGCCCAGCTGACATAACACACTGGAACAGAGACGGAACAGAACGTAATCCTTGGCAGGAGGCAGGCAGGCCTGAGAGCTGCTGAACTGGGACTGGACCACTGCGATGTGGCTGAAGACGGAAAACAACAGGGGCCCAGTAAAATAAGTAAATTAGATACTTCTCTATGAATGATGTATAGCAAACGCATTGTTCAAGTCAAGCTACTTAGTAATATGGAAATTCAAAATTAAAAGAATGATTTGTAATAATTTATGTCAGATCAGAAAGCTATATATTAGGAGTAAATGATACAGGGCTTCATGTGTAACTAAAAAAGGTCAGTTCCTGCTACATATTGCCCATAGATTACTTAAAAGTAAATTAAAATGTCTCATTCAAAACCATTGCTTCCTAACCTTCTTGCGAAGCTTCTGGATGCGATTAATCACTTCCCGGGCAACTCCTTCATCCAGCATGGACTGGTCTGGGGTAACATCTAGCAGAACTAAAACCTAAGGTAACACACAGAAGACAGCTGAATAGGAAACAAACTTGAAGCAAGCTAGTATTGACTTATTCAGAAGCTGAGTTAGATTTTAATAGAGCTCTTCACTTACAAAATACCATGTTGAAGAGAGTATTTCTTAGTCTCCAAAATCCAGAAGATAGGCTCCTGAATTTGTTGAATTAACTGAACAAACATAACCGCCCCAGCTTTCACCTCATCACTTTCATGTTGCTCCTAGAGGAGCTCTTTCCTTAATAATAATAATAATTAAAAAAAAAAGAAACAACCAATAAAATACCTGAGCATCAGAATGTGCTTCAAACTGGGCAGATCCTCCTGCAACCTGATCAAAGGTGTACATGAGACGAAGATCTTCCCCATGGAGTTCATGTCCTTCTACAACAATGGTGCCTGCAGAATTGACAGATGAAGAGCAGCGAAAAATTTCAATTCAAAATGCTTTAAGCAAGTATCAAACTCCAAAGACACGACATCCAGTGTATTTGCAATACATTTAAACAGCTGTTAAGCACTAGTAGAAAACACTGAACTATCCCACATTCAGATTTTCCATACAAGCACTTCTACAAGCAGCAGCACTCACTCAAACGCAGACACTTCAGCAACTGCTTGTGTACCATCTGAATGACACAGAATAAAACTTTAAAAAAACCCTTACTCAATTTACATTCCAGCAGTTATCTAAACAGATATGGCTGGAAAATTCACACCCACTTGTAAAGAATTGAAGCAATGCTTTTAGAATAAAAACTACTGCACATATTGCAATATTCAAACTTGATTTAATCTCACAGAACAGCTTACTTTCTACTTCATTTTGGTCTTACAATAGCACTTCAACAGGAGAACAGTGTAAGATTAGTATACATGGCCACTTCCCATCTACTGTCAGCAAAATAATAAAAAAACCTTTTCTCCTATCCTCATTAATGCCAAATCTAATAGGAATGGTAACAGAGAAGTAGGCTTTAAGTTTTCCTAAGTCCCCAGAAGCAAATGCTTGATTAATATACACAAATCACATACAATTGCTGGATTTTTCTTCTGATGAGCCAAAGGATTTTTGATAACACTGCCTTTGTTTAGTGGTTTGTACTACATACCCGTCTCCTGGAATTCCTCCAGCTGCTCACTCTTCAGCTCTTTGATTGCAGCCATGACATGCTTAAACGCACCTTTCAAACGCTTCCCAAGTACCATGTGGTCTGGTTCTGCTCGCAGCCGGACTCCATATTTATCTTTATTAGTAGATAGTGTCACTTTACGTACATTAAGTTCCTATATATCAAAAGAAAAAAAAAATGAAGCTAAAGAACAGCCATCTCTGACACCTGTGTAAAAGGTTCCAAACCAGGGGCCACAGTCCTAGTGAAGTGATAAGTCTCAAGCTGCTAAGTTTTTATACAGGTGTCTCTATGAACTAAGTAATTTGCCAACACTGCAAAAGCAAATAAACCCAACCAGTACTGAAACTGTCCTTCACCAGAAGATCCTGCTCTCCTCTTCAGCCTTTAGGCAGACATTTCACTGTTATTAACAGGCACCAGTCAACTCTCAAGTCAAATCAGATCCCTAGTCAGCAGCCTTTTTTATTTTATCGTTAAAACTGCCTGAAGACAAAACTATTACCTTGTGTCCAGTGGCATTAGAAAATGGCCTGGCAAAATTCATGAAGAAAAATTTTGCCAAAATAGTCCTTTCGGTATGCATTTAGCTAGAAAACTATAACCAACGATTTTATGTTTTAGCACAAATGCTGCTGCCTCATTTTGTCTCTCCCTTGTCTGTTTATTCTAGGTCCTTGCTGTACAGAAAACCACTTTGCTCAGAAAAACCTTCTGTCTATGCTCTGCAGCATGAGATCAGTGTGCCAGAACAGCCAAAAAATCTTATAAAGCTTGCATGAACGTCAGGCGGGGCCCCAGACCAAGGATGCTATTTTGCCACTACAGAAACTTGGGTGTGCCCATATTTTATAAGCAGTACGTGAAAGTTTTTGTCCCGGTATCTGAAGGGAAATACAGTGGTGCTATAGGAAGTTTTACAGAACAACTGGTGAAGAGGACAGTGTTGCTGCCACGTAAGGAAAGCCCAGGGCTAGAAATCTCTGGAGAGAAGAAAGCTGAAGGGGGATATGATTGAGGTTTAAAAAAATTATGAAAGGTGGCTGAAGAATGTAAAAGTGTTATTCACCAAATCCCCAAACCACCCCTCAAGTAAGGGAGCACGCAGTGGAAATAGTAGGAGATTGGTCTAAAAGAGATATACAAGTAGTTGGAAGAACCCTTGGAACGTAATGCCACAAGGAGGTAAGCAGGAGTGTACCACCAAGTTCAAAAAGGAATTAAGCTCATAACAGCAGGCACATGCCCTTGAGTATCTTTCATACAACAGCTGCAGATGGTGACTGCGACAGCAGTCTACTGCAAAGAAGCAGCCAGATGCTCGTGCTTTCTCTAAACAGACTCTCTAAACTGAGAGGAGCCACGAGTCTAAATCACTAAGTCATTTCTTACATTCTCAATTACAAATATTTTCTTCCATCATATAAGCACATTAAAAACCACCACTAAAAAACCCCACAAACCTTATTACATGCCCTGACCATCAAGCAATGCCAAATGTAAAAATACACAGCAGACTTCTATGCTCTGCACTTCATTCTGTCCCATGAACAAATGCATTATAAATGTTATTTACAACAACAAGAAACAACGTCTTGGTATACCTCCTGTAAATAAGGGCAATGTATCTCAGTGTTATTTAGTGTCTTCAAGAGTCTGTTTTTTCTGTGCTTTGTAAAGCCAAATAAGAAACACTCAAGGCAGGACTTGATAACTAAATTTCCAGTTTCACACAGTCTCAGGCTCTATTCTTGGTGTAACGTACCAAGGACAGATCTTGGAAAGTTTTAATTGCCAACATGCAACTCTTCTACAGGTACAAACCTGCACATACCTGGAGCACATTTCACTATAATTTGGCAGGTTTTCTCTGTTAAACTGCCCAACACTTGAAGCATTTTGTGTTTAAATCTCCACTGGAAGGTTGTTAGAGTTTACATCACCATGAAACAGAATCACCAAGTGCACTGGGCAAGCATGCTACTTCAAGTCATTTAGGAAGCAGAAGTAAATGGTAGCGTCAGCATCACAGGACCAGCAAGTAGCCAAACATTTTGATTGACAAGTAATGCTTAAATACCTCTGAGAGACAACAGTCCAATTCCCTAGGAAGTCCTACTGACGTGACGAGCCAAGAATATAACCAAATCTAATTTTATTTAATACTTTTTCTTAGATTTCCTAAAAGATGTATGTACTTCAGAAATTCAGTTTTAATGGGGTGCTGTTGGAAATGAGCCCACAAGTGGTAAATGATGACCTTGTGGGGAAAAAAGAAATAATAATCCAAAAAATAGCAGAAATTTAAAAATTACTTTGGGCCTGATTAGGTAAATTACATACAAGCCAACTCTATCAGGGCAAGTTCTCTACACTAATTAGATTAGGAAACCACTCTTCTGTATACATGATCATTAACAATTATTATTATGAGTGTTTCTTAGAAAAAAGCAAGCCTGTATTTTAGGTTTGTTTATATCTGCCTCAATGTATAAAATAGTTCTTAATTTTAGCTTCCAATAAATCAAAATTAGCTCCCTGACATCTTTCAAGTCTCACAGACACAAAGAGAGGCAACCAGTCCCTCCCATCACCAGTCGGAAGACCTGTCTGTTCAGGCATTCCTAGGTACAAGGGTCTTTTGTGTGTGCCACGCGCCAGGCACAACCAGATCTACCGGTAACCCAACCATGCCCAATTCTCAGAGCAGCGAAAAAGAAACGCCAGTGCTGTGCTTCAGCTGGGCTGGGCTCTCTAAGCAAACATCCTAAAAAGGAAAATAAATATTGATTATGTAACACTAAAACCAAATCCTGAAGGACCACACACTGCCACAGGTCACACGTCAGTTAATTCAGCCCATTCACGGATTCAATCTACGGCATTACTGTGACACCATTAATGTTATGAAATACTGGTAAGACCTTGAATTTGCTGAAAGGTCAATTTTCTGTTTTATTATAGCCATACATAGGGGCAGGAGTTGAAGGCTATACAAAGGTTGGATGCAAACAAGATTCCGGTTGTGCATAACGTAAAATTTACTCAGAGAAAACCTTTCACTGGAAGTAGTCCAAAAGAGAAGCCCTGAACTGGGCTTGTAAAAGGCCTCCAATACTTAATGAATAAAGTGCAACTGTTGTGCTGCTAAAAGCCTTCTGGATTTACTTCCTTTTGTGAGCTTGGTCATTTTTGTGTAACAACTCTATACTCTGGACAGTTCTAATATTAAAATCCATTTATTTAAATCATTTGCTATGTTCTGATGATGATAGAGTAAGACTACAGATCAAAAAATACAGCTTCTTCTGAAAAAGTGATGAATGAAATTTTCAAAGAATTGACAAGTGTATTTTTCAAATTCTTTTGTCAGCAACTGCATGAAATCAAATGGTGTAATTTTTCTTACCGATTACCTCTGTCACCTGTAAATTTACTAGAAACACACTTCTGACAATTACTAAAGGTTCAAAAGCTCTGAATATGCAGAAGGTTGATAAGCAAAGCTGCAAATACAGCCCAAGCAATACTAGCCAGGCTGCCTGTATTCACTGACCTCTTTAGCTCTGAATCATCCTAGTAAACAATTAGATTGATTGCTATGAAACACAATAAAACCCATACTAAGGTTCAGCATCAGCTTGTTGAATTTTAAGATACATAATAAAAACAGGACAACAGACAGGATTTTTTATTTGTGCTTCCATAAAAGCATTTGAGTTTGTTGTAACTTAGCTCCCTATAAGACATGCCTTAACTTTGTTCACAGTAGCAAATGAATATAAACTAAAACACACTTTTATACAATCCAATTATGTAATGATTGATCAAATTGTTAAGTTCCTTTGTTACCTTTTACTAGCTGTAGAAGCTGACAGCAAATTTTGTCAGCTATCTTTTCCGAAGTAATTTGAGAAAGCAAACCTCGTCTCCCCTAAAACTGGATTCTGTCAAATTCAGAAATGCAGTTTTCAGATCAAGAAAATGTGATAGACACTGACCTATATTTCACAAAAATCTGTTATTGAAAAGACCCAGGTATTGAAATTATTAAAAATAATGACAATTCTGAAGTGAAGCACCATAACTACCAAGTTTAAGAAATATAATCAATAAGTTAACATGACAGAAAAGCTCTACCAATACCACCTGCAAATCAATTAGGATTTTTAAATTAAACTCCTCTAGTGCACAATACTTAAGAATTTAAGTCTCAGAGTAACTAAAAGCAAGAAACATACAACACTGATCTAGAAGTCTTGTGCACTGAGCCACGACTCCCTTAGCCAGTGCTCCTAAGCTGCCCCCAGCAGAATTTTTAGAAGCCTTCCTTAGATGTATATTTAGGCTTCGGTAAAGATGGTATTGCTGGAGTAATACATAATTACAAGTTTAAGAGGTCTTCTGCTGCTTCAGTCATCTCTTGAATTCTTTGAATGACATGGTTGCGCTCTCCAAGAGAGGCCAGGTAAGTTGATCTTGCTCAGGTGAATGCAGATTTTTGTTCTCTTTGTCAAGGCAAAGCAGCTGATCTCGACAATGACAACGTGAACTAAAAAAGCTCCATCACATTTTAAGCATGTGACTAGATCTTCTGTTACAGAACCCTCTGAAAATGCCTTATTAAAAGGAAGAAAGAATTCTTAACCTCCCAAGGACAGGCATATGACAAGGGTCATGCCACTTTTGGACAAGTGAAAAAAACCTTAGATACTGCATTGCCAGTGGTTATTATAATAGCAAAAGAATTTATCCCACTTATCTCTGAAGACCTGTTTCACTGGCTTCAGACAACGCAAATGTTACAAACACTTATGGAGGAAAAAAATCCATTAAATGTAAAACATCATAACTTGATGCTTCTTGTACTATCAGCATGCATTAGTACCAGCCACTGGAACTATGTCATGAACATATATAAAATGATCTGGAAAGTGGCAGATTCTGGCAGATGAACAGTGACAGGAAAGTCAAAGGTGAATTTTAGCAAAATACATTTTATTTAATAATCCAGAGGCCATTAAACAGAAACACAAACTAAAGACAGATTGTTGAACCCACCAGTCCTGTATTACATCAGCTCTAAGAAGTACAGAGGTCCTAAGGCGATACAACACTGTAAGAATTTCCTGAAGACAGAAAGGAGACCAAGTTCCTCTGCAATGCCAGATTCAAAGCTTCAGTGCTGAAAAAAAGGAACCACTCTGAACTGCGGAGAATCCCTACATTTCCCACCTGATTACTGTTCTTGGACACACAGAAGCCACACACTAATATGACGGTAGCTTGGGAAGTACACTGGAGGTAAAATAGGACAAAGAATTAAGTTGTAAGAGTAATCTGGTTTTAGTACATACGCTACAAGCACTTAAAATACAAGAGAGGGCAGACTTCAGAGGATAACAAAAAGTACACCTTACGGCTCACTTTTCCAGATGTGAACTTATCATGGGAGGGAAGGGGAAGACATCTTTCATAAACTTTAGATGTACAACTACATTACTGTTCAAAACTTTTTCTTCTTCTGGTTTTTGCTCATTTAAAGAGAGATTGTTTCAGACAAGTAGACTTGAGAGGGCAAGACAGGAGAAGGCTAAGCTTGCAGTTCACAGGCATTCAGAAACTGTATTAAGACTTCTACACAAAATCTCTTGGAACAGATAAGGAAGTCGGTATTTTGGGTGGTTGTTAGTTTTTCTGCCTCATTGAACTAAGAGCCAGACGCAAATACAACAAGATTGCATAAGAGAAGGATTCAAGTGAAAATTCAGACAGATTGTTACACAGAAATTATTGTCATGAAGTAATCCCCAATTTATATTCAAGTTTAATACATGCATTCTGCCCAACATTAACACCAAATCAGTTCTTTTAGAATTTTGCTTTCTTAGCAAAGAGGAGGTGCTATTTGAAATCTTTCCTCCCCAAAACACACACAGTTACAAAGATGAAGTCATAGCTTATCTCCCCAAAGAACACAATTAAACATCTGGGTGAGAAGTGATCATCTATCCCAACAAGAGGAAATTAAGCATGCTCAGAAAGAACAGAATTGCTTAACCTGTCTTCCTTCAGTGCCTTCCAGAGTGGTTCTGAAAGACCTCCAGTCTTACAATGCAGATGATAGTACCTCTAACTCCCTGTTCAGCAAAGCAGTCACAAAGCCCTGAGGACACTGAGAAATTACACATAGGATAGCTCATGATATCAAATACAAGATCACAACAGATTGAAGTAGTAAGAACCACTGGTTTGCGGGATGTTTTAAAGGCCCCAACACCTAGAAAGAAGTCCAAGCACATACTGGTACAGTAGCTTTTTTTTTTTTTTCTTTTCTTCTTGAATAAACACACCATGGCTCATTGAAATTCATCACTGTAGCTGAAACACTCTTCCTTCTCACTATTCCCTCTTACTGTTTGATTTCTCTTTTACATCATAAATGTGAAAGAAGATGCGTATAAAATCTATTTGTAATGAAATTTAACTGAATGTAAAGACTAAAAAAAGACCACCTTCCAAATAGTCTTTTACGCAATCAAAAAGTAATAGGCTTTGTGCCTTCACTACAACTTCTGAAATGCAGTACTGAAGCTTAAAAGATTTTTTTATCGTGTAAACATGAAAATAAATGAGGTTTATTTATAAACAATCTCCTTTTTCATTTAACCTATTAAAACATTATGGATTTTTACATGACTGACCAAAAGCAGAAAGTGCAGCCAGTTTCAGGAAGTTAAGCTCAAAAAACCAAGCAGGGTTACTTTTCTTTCAAATGACGGGGCTTTTATCCATACAAAGATTTAGAAGTAGGGCAGGCTGCATTTCTCTAATGGACACACATGAAAAGAGTATTGCAGTGGCATACAGGAGCAGATGAGTGTAAGAAATTGTATAGACTAACATCTTCTTTGACACTTTATTTCCTAAACAACATACTGCAACAATCTTGACTGGTCCCCTGTTCTCCCTTACATGGAATTCCTTCTCTCCATCAACTCTTCCACTTACTGTCAAACTTGTTTTAATGCCCTTTAACTGAAGGAGATCACAAATTTTGCAATCCATCTCTTTGACAACATGCAGTTGACTATTGTCTTACTTTCATTCAAAAAATGTTTTTTCCTCTCACGGATCAAGAAAAAGAACATCTCTAATAGCCTTAGTCCAATGTGGTCAGTTGAAGCAATTAAGTATTTCTCAATACTACAGCTGACTAAGGATCACCACCCATTTACCTCCATTTCTGTACCCAGTACCCATTGATATACCCTTTCATTAAAATTCTCTTTTAAATTTATTTTACCTAGCGAGTTATTAATATCAACATGGAAGGTCAGGGGTTTGTTTGTTCAGGTAACTGACATACACAATCCAGTTAAGCATCATGTTCATTATGTTCTCACCTCAAGTATGTACTTCTCTAAAGATCTGACGTTTTCCAGAGCCTCTGGATCCTGATGGATAACAACTACTTCTTTCAAAGGATACTGGGGAAAAGGAAAAAAACAAACAGATACTTTTGTCCTTCCAACTGAAAATAAAGAACTTCAGAAATTATAAATAATAATATGAAGTATTTTATTGTTGAACTCTGTTTGCTACTCCACACGTAATTATTCAATTTTCCCAGGCTTATCCCAAGCTTAAAGCTATTGCACATTCCCAAGTTATTGATAAGAGATGTTAAGAGTTCTAACCTTTACTGGAATGGTTTTTCTGTCTCTGATTACTCGTCCAAGCTCAATAACAGACTGCAAACAAGAAACGGCACTTTCAATTTTTTTGTCGATGAGATCCTCCCTAGATTAAAAAGGAAACATTATATTGCTTCATTTTCACTGTATCTGTTTGAGCAGATTGAAAACATTTTACCCCCTTCTATGAAATTTCCTACCAGAGACTCAATTATGCCCTGTTTGGGGCAATCTGCAACCTGAACAAACAGGTTTATCTGCTCTCTTTGTGGAGAAGATGAGGAAATAACTTGCTGAAAATGAAAACCAGAGCTATTTCTAAATCATCCTTTGTTAGGACCTCTCACAAGATGGAAATGATGGATTGAGTCATACCACCTATTCTATTAATATACAATAAAAAGTCAGATTTACATTAATTATATCATAAAATGCAAAAATATATTATAAATAGGATACTTACACTGACAATGAAATACCTATAATGCAACCAACTCACTGGATCTCAATTTACAATCTTTTCCAGAAATTCTAGATATTTTAGCTTAATGGTTTAGACAGTCTTGTCATCTTTCCTGGCTTCATCATTTAACACCCTTCCATTTCAGAGGCAAGGCATGTTTGGAGGGGACAGGGGGGAGGAGGGTGCCTTTTTTGAGTTTAGTTGTTTGGGGTTTTTTTTGAATAAGCTGACATTCACATCTTGTTTCAAATGTAATAGCAGCCAACAGCTCCAAAAATGTGGCTTTCATGATTTCTTGAGTAGCTGCATGAATTGATCAGCACCTTTAAAACCGCACAAGTGTCATATCAAGACCAGAGGTACTGGTTCAAAAGCCAGTTGTGAATAACAGGAACAAAGTTGCTTGCTGTAATATAAGTAGCAAGAGTACTGGGATAAAAACCATGCATCCCACAAGGATTATCCAGAAAAACAGAATGGTAAAGAAAAACTTACAACTGAAATATCCCCACCTTCTGCATTAGGGCTTTGATTAAGATGTTATACCTATTTTGAAGCTTTTGTTCTCCCAGAAGCCAGTCTTTCAGGATGGTCCTCCAAAAAACTTGGGAAACATGTAAATTGCGAGATAGAAGACTTTGCTCCCAGAAAGATTCATATAGTATGTGGCAGTATTTCAATATTACTTCCCCTTACTTAACAACATTGTGGAGCTACAAAATGAGAATAGTCTTCACAGACTGCATGCACACCCACAATATTTAAGGCAACCGATCTGTTCAGACACTAAGCAACCGAGTAATACTTCAGCGGGGTTTGTAACACAGGTATTGAGTCAAGTTCAGCTGTAAAAGTGGCCAAGTCCCTTAGCTTTATCTGTACATTCCCATCATATCATTAAACTAGAATTTTCTTTAACTGCATTTTTAAAAAGTCTCTTACTATTAACTGACAATATTGCCCTTATGCAGTCACCAGAAAAATATTCAAAGAAAAATGCAATGATGTGCTCAGCAAGTCAAGGTTAAACACTAAAACTTCACCAATAATTTAGTACTGAAAATATGTCTTTTTATCTGACAAAGGGAAAAACTGATACACAGGGGATCCAGTAAACTACACAAACTAGTAGCAGACAAAAATCCAAACAAAGTACAAGATAAAGAGGAAAGCAGTGCAAGCCACTCAAATACATAATACGTTTGCATGATGCAGCAGGAAGTCAGTTAGCGCTAAACAGGAATAAAAAGCAACCCAGACACTTTCATGCTAAGCCCATGCCTAAACCGAGTTCCTGCAAATAGCTCTCTACCCTTCCATTACTCCATTCTACAGGAGCTCAAAACCATTTCTGATAGCTCACTGATGAGTTTTGCATTCTTTGATTACGTATTTTTTACGGCACTTTCCCAGGGAACAGAAAATCAGCACCATCATTATGTCAATCTCAAACCCTTTGTTGCAGTAACTCTCACTATTAAAGCTATCAGAAAGAACATACACCTTCCTCAAAGGACGCAGTACCCACTAAAGAAACACCATCACTAGAAGGTTTAAATTTTGAAAGGGGCATGTAAAGTATCAAGGTCAGCTCCCTCGTCCTTAAGGGTTTCCAAACTGAGCTGCAAAAGGACAGTTCGTTTCTCTTATATTCAGTGACTGACAGCAGCCTGCAATGCAGGCACTAACTTAATCCACTAACTAACCAGGGCACTAATGAGCAGCTTAGTGCTGTAATACTAGTGTCTGCCTTGGCTGGACAAAAAAAAAAAAAAAAACAAAAAAAACAAACCCCAAAAACCCAAACCAAACCAACTTCAGGTGTCAAGTTCTACCTGGGTTGAGTTGGTACTATTGATAACTCAGAGTGTACATCCAGTACAACCACCATGGACCTACACATTTTTGAGACACACTGGCACTTAGAAAAAAAGTCACCCATCAGCATCCAAAGAAATTATCTGTCTGGAAAGCTCTTTCTCTTACTATGCATCCTCTTACAAGGAAGTGGCAATCTCTGGACAATGGTGTAAATTCTTGACCTGAAGCCAAAAGAACTCACTCTGCTGGCTCCATACACGATCCACACTAAACAATAATTCTTATCCACGCGGGATCTGCTAAGGCAGGCCTAGAGATGGGAGGATATTCCTTGCCCACCGTAAGCAGGAAGTACGAGTTGGGAATGTGCATTCCTCCTAATTCTTTTCCTTCCTGACTACAATCCTTTAACCTAGCACAAGTCTACTGCCTAAATGCGGACAGAAAATAAAATTCCCAACTAACTTTGAGAGTGGGGTATGAAGTGAAATGTCCTACAGCAGAGAGACTAACATTAATCAGAGTGAAACCAAAACTTAAACATTTTTTGCTTACAGGAAAGAATGAGTTAACTATCATCCTAAAATGCTTCCTGAGGCAAAGAATTATTCACATTATTAAAGCTGCTTGTTTTCTTGTTATGCAAAACAGCTTTAAACAACAGTAAGTGAAGAAGCACTATTCTGTGAAAAGCAAAAAAAAAACCCAAACCAGCAGACCCAACCAAACCAAACCCCTCATAACAGCTATCTCTTACCTCACTTGGGGAAGCATGAGGTAGTGGATGCTTTCAGTATTCTTTTCCTGAACCGAAGCTGGATCAATAAGTGTCTTCAGGTTCTGGTACATCAGCTCAGTGATAAATGGGGTATATGGCGCCTGTAATGTTGGATTCAATCATCATCTTTTATTTATTGCTTGTACACTGTAAATCAGGAATACTCATGAATTGCATAAGGACAGTTCAGCAAAAACAATGCTTACACGGTGTTTTCAATGCAGAACTATGATGTTATTCAAAATGCTTACCAAAATAAATAGTGAAATTGCTATTACTTATCTGCCTCCTTCCCAAGATTTAGATTTTACTTTTGAACATCAGATAACAAATCATAACGTCTCTTTATCAGCCAGGTGACATTTGCATTCTTTATAGTACCGTGGGCCAGATAAGCAAATAGAAGGGGGAGGCAGAAAGTGAACTGTGCTACGCAAGTCAGTAGCAATCTGGTTTTTCTTCCCACATGTTCAGCCTCTGTATTCCCTGTTTCTAAGGTCAACATAGACACAAAGATGCATGCTTTTAGATTAACTACATTAAAGTTGTCAAATAATTATAGTGGGCTGTAATTCCCTTACCATAAGTCTGCACATGGAGAACAAAACACTAAACAAGGTTTCCAAGGCCATAATGCAGTCTTCAGTCCCATTCTCACCCTATTTGAAGAATTGACCAAGAACAAAAAAAAAAAAAAACCAAAACACAAACAACTGTAATTTTAGGATCAGTTAAGTGCACTTCAATAAACATCAAAAATTTCCTATGTTAATGCAACGAACAGCTTTTCCAAACTGTATTCATTTTGCTCAATCCCATCCAGCAAGTGAAACTGAGTAACTGAGTATTTAGTTTGGTTGTTTTTCCTCATAAAGCAAAGAGGAGAAAAAATTATTCCAACCTCTCATTCTGACTATAAGATACAAACTGACTGTATTTAAATGACAGCATAAAGATTCTGCATAATGCCATGAAGCTGCTCTGGATTAAATGAACATAGACTACGAGGATTTTGTTTAGAGTACAAGAGTGCAGAGGCAGATACCTACCTTTAGTCTTCTGCGATTCATTCTAACATACCAGTTGGTCAGAATATCAACAAACTTCACTAACCGAGGGACTACAGTGTACAGTCTGTAAGCTAGAAGGAAAAATGTTTACTGAAGTTAATATTTGCCCACTGCATCAAGTTCCTCACTTAAAGAAACACATCATCATTTGTAGCTCCAGTGTTAAACATAAAACTTGAGCAGAAGCATGTATGTTCGTAAGATCAAAAAAGTGATTAGACACACTACTATGTTAAAACCATGTTTTGAAATTGCACATCATCAATTCTCATTCTTCAAGACAAACACATCTACCACCAAACTGCTCCCCTAATCCTACACAAACACGCATTATGGAAGCCTTATGCTTTTATCTGACTCGTAAAGAGGATAGTGGATAAGAGACTATTAATCGCAAAGGATTTGGCAAATCCTAGATTTGCACATGCTGTAAATACAGCCGAGTCACTAGAAGTTTAACAAAAATTATTGTAGAATCATACAATAAAATTTCATTACCAGTTACTGCCAACATTTTATTTTTCATTTGCCAGATTTAAAATGAGACACCTACTTCAATCAATTCTCTCTGAATTACTTGCCAATTTTTATTATTTTTGTAAGTAACACAGTAGACTAAAAGAATGTCAAGTAACAGCAAGCCTGACGAGGTAAGAAGATAAACATAGCTGTATTTTCAAGTTCTGGATAACTTAAAAGCATGGAGGACTGCCAGAATGAAAAAGAAGGTCATCATGAGCATCACTATGCAACTGGGAAAACAAATTTCAGTCGCTCATGAGAGAATGGGGGATGGGGGCCTGGGGTGGGGATGGACCTTAAATAGGACTTGCTTTTCTAAGGAAAAGCTTGGATATAACTTCTCTAAAAGCAAAGAGCTTTTTGATCTCTATTCTGAATCATTAACCAAGCAGCTACTGAATAAAATGGATCTTTGCTTTAAAAGCTTCACTGCACTTTTCATTGCATTTTCTAAAATAGAAGTGCTTTTAAAGGCAGAGTACTGGTATTTAAACCTAAAAAGGAAATGCTCAGAAGATTCATGCCATGCTGGGGAAGACATTATTTATGTGTGAATTTGAATTCCTAAAAAATTCACAGCTGTCTTCTAGCTATGCATTACCTAGTTAGCAGGCTGGTTAAAAACAAACAATAAACCTCAAAAAACCCCACCCTTCAGGGACAGTGTATCTTTACCAAGAGATTCAAATCACCCTGGAAACATGCATTTCTCCCCTCAATAGCTGTAATCCCAGTTGATAAACTAAATTGTGAAGTCTCATTTTTCATGACTCCAGAAAAAGGCATGCATGGACATGGAACCATGTGCACATATCACCCACAGACACACATTTTCTTCAATTTCAGTCGTCAGGAGAAAAGTTGTTTTCTAAAATAATTTGTTGTATCAGGCACTTCTAAGTAGAAAAAAAAAAAAAGCATAACAACACTTGCTGGTTTTAAATAAGGAATTTTAACCCCCCTTAAACAGAAAGGATTGCTTGCCCTATTACTTTCCATAATATCTTCCCAATATCTTACTACTTGCACTGTTTTGTATCAAAGGGCCCAAATCCCAGAAGTTTCCATCATACAAGATGAGGTCTAGTGGAAAAACTAGACTACTGTTCAATCGCTAATAATTCTTTTGGATAAGCGAGTTATTATCAAAGTGAAGCTATGTTAGCTACGTACCAGCTGCTGAAGAGGTTCCTGGCACACATCTACCTACCTCGCAGCACTTCTAAAAAGAGCATGTCTATAGCTCCATTAAACCAGGGAAAATACACAACAGCAAAACCCCTCCTCCAACCACAAATGTGTATTGTTTCCATACAGTTCACTTTTGTCAATTTTCCACGAATAACTGAAATGACACTGCTTTCCGATACACATTGTCTCCCTTTCTCCAAGTGCATATGTTCTAGGAAGCCAAAAACTCTCCCCCACCAAGCCAGGAGCAGCAGAGGGTTTGTTAGACCTTCCCGAAGTTTTCCTGGGCTCTCTAAATCATCCCAAAGCTGGAGCGTGCACAGGTACGCTGCCCTTCCCAGCCTCAGTCTCTGCAAGTGAGGTCAATACTGCACTGCCAGGGCTCCATTTAGGCTGAAACACTGCTGGTTATTCAAGCTACTAGGAGAAACTGGGGCAGAATTAACATAAGTTTTACTTAATGGAAACGTTTTTCTAGAAGCAGGCAATCAGTGTAAAATTTAGCTCCACGATAAAATACACTCGATTAAATGGAAGAAATTAAGCTCGATTGCAACATTTTTCTGGTCAGTCATTTCTCCTTACCATTTAGAGTTTCAAGCCCGTATGTTCTTAGACGTGATCACACATGGGTGAAAGAACAGCACGTTTCAGTGCAGACCAGGCTATTTCTCTGACAGATAATCCCCAAATATCACCTCAGCACCACTGCCTCACCTATGTTTAGATATGGCAGAGACAACACTTGTTCATTTAACACATCTTGCAGGTAACAGAGTTGCATGGCATTAGCTGGCAAACGCTATTTTTGCTCACATCATACCACACCTACAACAGCTTCTGCATTTATTTTTTTTCCATTATTATTATTTTCAAAATCTTGGCTTCTAAAATTAAGCTTGTGTAATGTACTTATCTCCTCTGCCAAGCATTTGAGGTTATCAGTCACCATTATAATCTGCCCTTGCCTCTTCCTGACATTTTTTTCCCACTTCAAGTCAAACAAAATCCAAAACAAATTATTTAGAAAGGATCAGCACAAGAGTATCATGTCACTGTACACAAATTTACTGCATCTCATTATCTGTCTGACTGAATTCAGAGTTTATGCAGAAAACGAAATTGAAAAATCATGTTTATTAATCACTTCCAAATGAGATGTGTCACTCATTTGATAAGCACATCAGGTTATCTTCATCTAACTCAAGACAATAGCATTTAATATCAATATTGCAGTCTTGAAAGTCTTTACACTGTCATGTTCCAACAGGAATTTTCTTCTCCTGATTCAAGGGATTTTCCTGCTTTGTAAAGATGTTAGCTAACACATCCCATTTTATTAGTTTCATCTTCCTCTTAGAAATCCAGAGAAGAGATTTCAAGTTTCTACTCCCACGGATCATCTTCATGCAAATACTACTTCTGTTTAAACTGTGCACTAATCCAAGATCCCAGGTGCACATTCACAAATTAGTTTTCCATTGTCTTTCAAAATATTTTCCTCTTTACATGCAGCATGTAAACTTGCATAGGCTCTACATATATCTGTTTGGCAACACATGAAACTCAACACACCACCAACAAATTTTAAGGACAAAACATCTAGGAAGAAGCCACATTTTCATCAACAACAGCAACTTTTACCATATTCATTGTTTTGGTAGCTTGAAGAGTCTTTCTTCCTTCAATGAAATATTCTTAGGTTACCTCACCTGAATTTTGTTATTACCAAAGTGACCTGCTTTATCTACCGTAGCAAGATAAACTCATCTTGCTGGTCTTGGCAAAAGTGAACATGCAGGTTTAAGAGGAGAAATACAAGAGATGACTGAAACAGAGGAGGACTGCCCTGTGTTCTCAGACTCCAATCTGGCATTCAGCTGTTTCCTCATTATCAATTATCCCACTAATTCTGTCTTTCCCCAAGCCCAAGTACACCTATGGAAGGCTTCTAAAAATTCTTCTGAGGGCAACTTAAGATCACTAGCATAAGCTGGGTTGTTCGTTTATTCGTGAACAGGGACTGCAATGGCAAAAGCCACCTTCTTTCCAATATCTAGGTTTCTGGTGCCCTTCAGGGCACCAAAACCTCTTCAAATCCCATCGTGACTTTATCTGCAACTTTGTAAGTTTACTTCATCAGACTAACTACTTCAGGGGACTCCTACAGCACCTTCTCCTTGTAATTAATATTGTCTTCATATAATCTGAGCACTGAGAGGTATGGGATGATGAAAAAGACAACATGCAGGAAGAAAAACCAGGAGACTATCTTTTTACAGCCATGCAATATCCCAAAGCTATTCCATCCTGCTCTACACAGTCACAATATATTTACAAAGAAACCCTCTCCATTGAATTGTGCAGGGGAAAATTTATGCCCCATGCTTACGCACCTCTTAAAGTGCTGCCCATTTTATACTTTTTTTTACAGCTTCCTCAAATTCTATTTCACTTCCTTTTCACTGCCATCTTTCACTTACTATTATATTATTATTAAATGCTCTGAGTACTGCAGAATATGTTGTTAGAGCAACACGCTACATCACTGAGTTCATAAGATTAGCTATGTAAAAAAAAAAGCCTCATCACTTTTCGAAATATCGTGAATAAGCAGAGCAAAATCTGTATTAACACCCATGAGAGCAGCACTCCATGTATCACCGTACCTGGTTAAAGATTTCTTTTCTTTCATCTGAACTGTAAGTCTCACGTGGAATCTGGAAATCTCGGGATGAAATGGCTAGTTCTCTAATCAAAAATTAAACACCCGTAACACATGCCTGACCAAACGTGCATACCTGCCATTTCAGCTTTGAAGAACTGAATGAGTGACTGGGTGAAAGAAAGAATCCATTTATCCATGATGTTATCGCTCTCCTTAACTGTGTTCTCATTGTAAAGGAATTCTCTTCCCTCATCCTATCATCATAAAAACACAAAACATTTTTCAAGTCATAAGGGTATATATTGAAACATCTATATCAAACCACCTGTCAACCACTAATATTTTGTCACCTTCACTGTGTTACACTGGTTCCCTAAGAGAGAACATTAAAATCCAGCAACATGTAAGAGAAATAGCTAAGGAAAACCTGACTCCCACTCTTGATTTCACCACACCATACCTTCAACTACAAAAGAGGCCAGTTATTTGGATCTGTTACAACAGACGAGAAGCAGTACAGCACACAATGGTACGCAGTTGTTCTTTCCCTGTTTGCAGTGTAAGTCATACCTTCCAGAGACAGGGCAGGACTCTTCAATTTGCATAACTCTTTCCTCTAGGAGGATCTGAAGCATTTACAAGAAATGTACTGTGAAGATAAATTCTATTTGAAGAAAGGGCATATAAACAATATAATTTTTTTTTAAGAGCATGTGACAATTTCAACAGATCAAAACATAGAAGAGGGTAACAACCCCAACTGAAAGAAAAGGTGGTATTTTTAAGCATCCAACATGCATATAGTGGGTAACAACCCCAACTGAAAGAAAAGGTGGGATTTTTAAGCATCCAACATGCATATAGCACATTTTGTTGCTTTCCAGAATATTGATGTTTGCTCCCATCCAAAAAATTTCATTACACTTCGCTGATTCTGCAGGGCATTGCAAGCAAGACCACAAGTAAGCACGCTTGTCAGTGCCTACAGTCTGACTCTTCTCCATGTGAACGTTCTTACGACTGGTTGAGAACAAGGGGGTTATTTTTTTCAAATTTACAAACACTACGTAGCATCTGGTTTTAGGAGTCCTTGGACTTTCCCTTCCCTCAGAGTTCAGATGAAAAATCTGTTTGGATTATTCAAGCCAATAATTATGCATGCACTTAAACAGTATAAACAAGAAGATACTCAGGAAAGAAATGCATCTGCACACCCAGAAGTGCAGCAGTCCCAGTGTGAGGTCAGCAATCATTTCACCAACTGCAATTACTGTGGTAATTACAGTAAGCATAAAATTATTATTAGACTTAATCAATGACACAGATTGTAGTTTCTCTCTTGTAGGAGGCAAAATACAACAAAAAAATTCTTTAAGCCTGTGTATGAAATCTAATTTAAGCACTATCACCTCCAATAGCACATTCTTTGCCTAATATGGTACACAGGAATGGTTTCACTATCTATTTGGAAAGAAAAATTACATCTGCTGAATTACCAAAACTATCTGCTTAAGCACCTGGATTTTCCACTGGGGTCTTCCGTCCCCAATTTGTCTGATCTTGCAACATTTAACAGGATCGCAGCAAAAAGCTGCAAAGCACACTTTAGATCATTCAAAGGTCAAACAGGAAAAACTGAAAAATATTTTGGAGGCAATGTATAAGTTTATCTGATGAATGCTGTCTCGGGATCCTAAGAAAAGATTTGTTAAATATTAGGATCTGAAGTTACTGGATTTTCTTCCCAAAAGGGGTTGTTAAAAAGATAAAGCCATTTATTTAAGTTAGCAATTTACTGTACTATTTATTGAAGTCAGTTGCCTTTATTGCTTCAAATGGCAGCTCTCCAAAGTTATTAGGCTGCTACTGTAATTCCATGCATAGTAAAAGCTTTGAACTTTTTTGCTTAGTTCCCACTCTCCCATAAAAGTCTGCACTAACAAATGGTAACCTTCTGTCATTAATCTCAGCTGAAAGCTTAAAATTGGGTTCAACAGAAACTATACAACATACACATAAAAATCTTCAATTTAAATGAAAGATTACTATAAGAAAGCAATTTTAATCTTGCTTTCATCCAGAAAGTGTAGAAACTCATGTCACTCAGTGTTTTTAGTAGACTTCAAATGTAATCTAAAAGTCTAAAGCATTATTGCTTTTATGATGATTTACCTTTCTTTCCATTCTATTTCTTCTTTTTTTTCCTAAATTATATTTAAATTTAAATTTAACTTTTAAAAAAATTAACTGTCATGTTACAGAAGGCAATCTTCTTGCTGTGGCTAATGTATTCCCAAGTTACACATTTTAATACAGATTCATAATTAAAGTTACAGCAAATGAGTTAGCTCAAGAAATTGTCACAGCAGCCGCTACTGAAAATAACTTTCTTTTCATGACTTATTTGCAGTTCTATTTCAGTTAAATCTGTATGCTGTTAGGCAATGTTCTCAGTGCAGAGAAGCCTGCAGTCCAGATGCCATCCTTCAACAGCATCCTTCCTGTGATGTAGCTGTGCCTGACTGCATGACATGGGGTAACAGCGAAGAAAAAGCAGCAGCACTCAAGGTGGTATTACTGACACCTGCTGCCTCCACACTACTACACAAATACTGATAAAACAATTAGTAGAAAACCAGCAAAGCTTAGTATGGACATCTCAGGATTCCCTCAAGCACGTGTGGTGCCTGGCTTTTAACTGGTGTTCCCAGCAATATGACTAGCTGCAGATAATTGCTTAGTATGTATTAACCCCACAAACTCAAAGTCCCTATCTTGTTCTCTAATTTCAAGAGCATGAATGCAATAGCAGCACATGTATCTCAAATAAAAGGGAATCAAGAGGACCCTAAATCTGAGAAATTATAGCTGTTATGTCTTGACAGTCCCCTGTCTTCCACTCCTCCTTTCTATATAATAAGAAGCGTGGTCAAGAAAAGAAAGATGCAGGGTCATTAGCTTCATACAACAGGGTACAAACAGCAAACAGCACAGAAATTAACAGCAAGTATATACAACTTGATCTAACTTTGAAGCCAGACATTGAATGGGAAGGGAAAGATCAGACAACCTCCAGGGGTCCCTTCCAACCTAAATTTCTCTATGATGCTAATTTGCTCTTACAGTGGAAAAAGCACAAAGCCCCTTCCATTTCACTTTTCTGCGCTCAAGAGATCAGTACCTTATGTTGCAGGATCTGAACGTTCTGAACAAGAAAGCGATATGCATTGTACCAGGGCAGGAAGACATCCTTCAGTATATCCCTTACTCCTTCCTCCTTAAATCTCAGGTTTTCTGCTCTAACCACAGGAGAATTGATCAGGTATAACCTGCAAAGAAAGAACACAATACGTAAAAGCTTAACACTGCATATAGTGATAGAAATGCACTTAAACATACAGTAAACCCTAGAGATCTGCATAGAAAGGTACCCAAAGGAGCAATTTCACACCAAGAACTCTAAGGAAGACAGGACTGTAAGCCTATAATGTACTGAACATATGACAATTTACTTCCTAATGCCACGGGATTATTTTTATGATACTGTATATGGAATTTGAATTGGAATTTAAGTTTTCTTTTTTACTCTAGAAATTAATTGAAGTGATAACACATGCTCAGATGCTATCACAGTATAAAACAAGCAGTGGATGCAAGAGAGTGTTCAATTTTTGAATGGCACCTATTGTTTCGGTAATATTTTGAATTCCTTAACAATGCCACAGTACCTTTCTACTTAATCTAGTTGATTTCCTCCATTTTAAAAAGCTTTGGGGCCATTACAAAAACAGGATTAAGGAGCAAGGCAAAACAGGCAAATCAAAGTAGAAGAGCAGAAGTTAACGTTTTTAAGAACAGCAGCTCCAGAAGAGGACAAAAGATGTACCTCCTACCAATAGAAATGTGCCTCATCTCCAGAAACAGCTCTGAAAGAACAAAGCAGAGGATTCAGGTGACACTGGCTACTGATATCAGAAGCAGCCAAAAACAGGATTAAGGAGCAAGGCAAAACAGGCAAATCAAAGTAGAAGAGCAGAAGTTAACGTTTTTAAGAACAGCAGCTCCAGAAGAGGACAAAAGATGTACCTCCTACCAATAGAAATGTGCCTCATCTCCAGAAACAGCTCTGAAAGAACAAAGCAGAGGATTCAGGTGACACTGGCTACTGATATCAGAAGCAGCCTCTCACAGAATCATCCCTGCCTCTGCCAAGGGGGTTCATCTGTACATGAAATCCACCCTGTCTGGGGAGATCCTCCTCGGGTCAGTCTCTCTCAAGCTAAGAGTTCCTCATTTCAAAGAGACAGACTTGTCCCCCAGTTTCCTTGCTGGTTATGAGTTCACAAAAAAATCATCTTTATAGTTTATCCCATCTTTTCCCTAAACAAACATTCTGTGTACAGAAACAAATTGGTATCTAACAAATTAACTCAAAATTAAAAGCAGGTCTTACTCAGATATCAAGAAAACTTCAATAAAAATTTTATTAAGATACACTTCATTTAATTTTCCAAATATAAAAAACCTACCAATTTTTTTTAATTTTAAAGATTGCAGCATTTCTCAATAGAAATTTATCACTCATTTTCTCACGTTTTATCAACTTTAAAAACCATGATTCTAAACTAATGTATCTTTACAGGTACCTCCTTTAGGAGGCTTTAAATCTTAATGAGGTTTGACACAGCACATTCAAGACCAGACCATAAATTCTTCAGGAGAGGGCTTCTTGCATAACAATAAATATGTAAGAGCAGAGCTGCCAAAGTAAACAGACAGCAATGCAGCACAGAAAGGGGCATTTTCAGTACTGTAGCGAAAAAAAAAAAGTATTTTTAAACATGATATTTGAATTCAAATTATAAATTTACAAAAGTGCAGAACCATTAGGCATGATAATGAACTAATCAGTCCTTAAATGAAACTAGAATTTAAAAGTATATATTTAAGCCAAACCTCCCATCACAATTATTTATGTCATTATTTATTTCAGAAGTCAAACATAACTTCATTACAAATACGAGAGCTAGTCTGGCCCTGGCATACACCAGGATACTCCAGGCCTTTTACCAGTTTGGCACTTAGCACGAACAATGACCAGTTCAGATTGCCTCCACTGCTTTCCTCCTGAGGAGGCAGCAATGCAAACTAGTCAGAACTATGAAGGATCCACTTCATTGCTCCTTTGCACCCCCTCAGCTGCGCTCACTGCAGAATCTACCAGAAGTCTTCTTAAAATAGCTTTTAGCATGAGAGATTTTTTTTAAATGTGGCCCTCTAAGGCTACAGTTTTGGTTTTTTTTAACATAGTAGCCCTACACTGCCTTACAATACATATACATTAAAAAAAATACCAATTTCCTGAATTATTCCAATGCAAAGATACTTATGGAAAGATAAATATGGCACTCAAAGGAAGAGTTCTATCAATTTAGTTACACCTAGTGATATTACCCATTAGGCAGAAAATAAAACCTTCTTCAAATCAAGCCAGTATTATCAAGTTTTCTGACAATGTATGAGAAACAATAAACTCATTTTCATCTCTCTAAAACAGCAGTCTGGGGCATTGTTCTTTCTTCTCCATTGTAAGGACAGATTGAGAGGAGAAGGTAACAGATCCATTCTAACAGCAATACTTACCTCAGGATACATGAAAACAAAGGGCTTGTAAATACTATGACCAGCAAATTCTCTTTCTGACATACTTCAACTCTGACAGCTATCCAACCCAAGTCATAGGTCTTAGGAATACCAAAATAGAACTGCTTTTTGACAATTCTTACAGATTTCACACAGGATTCAAGTTTCAAGAAGTCTGAAGCTGTGTCGTTAAATTTACTGTGCTGTTATGTCTTCCGTTTGCCCTTTCCATTCAATTCATATTCATTTAAGCAACTTACATTTCTATTTTCTGCTGATCTATTTATCAAGCTACTGTTGAGAACACTCCAAAGCTGTAGTTAAAAAAAAAAAAAAATACATATATATATGTACTGCAAAAGCTAAAGTAACGCTGCAGGGAAACAGTGCCAAGGAAAAAAAAACTCAGTTGTAGCTTCTTCTATAAACAGAACACATCAAGCGCTTCAGTGAACAAGTGGAGACAACTGAATCACAGAGCTCCTGCCATAAATGAACCTAGTCTGCAATGCTTTTTACTCTCTATGTGGGTGTACGTATAAATAAATGTGACATTAAAGAATGAGTACACAGGCAGAGAAATGAATTAGCTTTTTAGAATTAAAAAAACCATGAATAATGGAATTGTAACTTCTGGTGTTTGGGATTTTTTGGTTTTGTTTTATAAAAAAAGCAGGGTTTTTTTTCAACAGAAGCATCTGTGATTTTAAAATCTCCAGTACTAGTAACTCCCTTTCCTCTCATATTGATCCATCTACCAATTCACTGATATTCTGCTAATATACCTTCAGTATTTCTAAAGAACGATCTTGATAAAATTTAAGGAATCCATCCAACTGTCCACCTTAAAAATACATAAGTTACTAGGTCTTCTAAATGCTAAAGCTTTAAACAATAAGGAACTTCACATCTATTTCTTTAAGTTATTTAGAACAAGCAACAACCATCTTTCTCAAATAAACAAAAAAAACCACCACAGTACACTAAGCTTTCATCCAGACCAATCATTACTGTGTATGGTTGTAACACACAATTCAACGTGTGTGATAGTTTAAGGTTTTCTTATACGTAGCAAGAATTACAGGGCTCTTGAGCAACGCCCAAGTAGTGTACTCCTGCAGTTATTAAAATGTCTTTATTGTACGTTCACCTCAAGGTACCACTTCATGCACGTGGTTAGTGCATCTAGACAAAGTACCAGGAGACTGTATAATCAAGTTTATACATTAGTATAATTTTAATGAAACACTTGAACTGTGTTTAATCTCTGTTTGACCAGGACAGTTTATATATACACACATTAGGCTGCTCCACTTCTGCTTTTCTGTTTTTGCTGCTATCAGGTACATACTGTATGCTTACATCAACCAAAAAGAAACTTTCTCTTCAGAAAATGTATAGTATAAGCAGCAAACATTTCTGTGCATTATACAGTAATCCTTCTCTAAAATAACAATTTGAGAGTAAACTAACAGTACTGTTCTCAAAGATTTTATGCAAATTTTCACTGGGTCAATTCAGACTATTACCTGCAATAGCAGACAGTGCTGGCTGGAGTGGAAGCATTCTCCACAAACTGAACACACATTTTCTGACAAAAGGACTCCAGTCAGCACGTCAGCTTTGGTCGTTACCAGCCTTGAAGCCTTGAGGGAGTTAAGACAAGGGTATAGAAAAGTCCAGGCATTGTAACAACTGCCAGTTCTTTTGAGTCATTCACTCTTTCAGCTATTTGGCTGCCGCAGCTGTCTAGAAGCTTCTAAAATTAACTTTCTTCCTAATGCTAATTGTCAAAAACCCATAAGCAGCCCTCCTGGTACATGTCTGCTATGAACAGGAAGCAAACATATCAGACTGTACATTAATTAAAGAAATCCTACCTTAGTGCATCAGCTCCATAACTATTTACAATACTCATCGGATCAGGATAATTCTTCTTTCTTTTGCTCATTTTTTGGCCATCACTAGAAAACATAAGAATGCAGGCATAAATTACAAATATTCTTGTAATACATGGATAAAGAAAAAAGGCCCTCCAAGTCCAGCTTAATTTTTCTGTCCTGTTATGTTCTTGGTAGCATAGACATAATTATATATTAGCACACCATCTCAGTATGACTGTTGAACCCATAAGAGCAACTGAAAAAAAAAAAAAAAAAAACCAAACCCCAGCCCAAGTGGCTCCCACACTACAAATCTAAGTGGGAAATCTGTCTTTCCTACCAAAGCTGAGGGAAGATGCACTTGTTTTGAATCAATCCCTCCAGCCCACTGGCAAAGCTTTATTTGAAAATAAAGGGAAACAAATATAATTAACTTAAGATTACATCTAAAACTACATTTATAATCCCCTTTACTCTGCATAACAGGTATCATTCATTTCCTATTCTTTCCTATTCTGACTTGTTACTCATTTTCTCTCTCTCTCTCGGAAGGACTAATCCTGCTGGAAAGAACCTAGTGTAACAGATTGCTGGGATTTGTACACCATACACTCTTGGGTGCCTCTTACCTCCTGCAACACCGATATCTCCCTGACAAGTCTTAACAGCTCCACAGTCCATTTCAGAGTTAATTTACAATTTGCAAGGACTTATCTGAAATACTCTTGACTACAAGTCTTTTCAGGAAAGGACTGACTGACAAACCAACCTGGCAAGGACAAGGCCATTCACGATGACATTCTTGAAAGGAGGCCTTCCAAAAAGAGCAGTGGACAGCACCAGCAAAGTGTAGAACCTGAAACAAGAGACAACGTAAATGTGACTTTCTAAATATGCCAAGCTAAAGTCTGCACGTTCTTCATCACAACAGAAGTTTCTCATTATGTTGCTTTACTGTAGTAAAGTTAAAATTTAAGTGTGTGGAACACTTATGCAGAAAAGACTCAGAAGATGAGCTTATTGTAAGGAGACCTTTTCCTCTTTATAGTATATCGTGCCATTTGCTCAGCTGCGATCTGCTAGTCCAAGAAAGCTGAAAAAAATCTAACAGTTAGCATTAGGAAGGTCATAAAGAAGAAAATTGTAGCATTTTCCCCTTTGATGTAGAAAAGAGACTTCTGTCCCTGAGCAAGCTCCCCATTTGCTCGCTATAAACCTCTGAACAGGACTGGCACACTGTCTGTGTGTCTGTCCATCTGTGTATTCTTTAATCCAGCAGACAACAGAACAGTAACTGCTGGGAGCATAAAAGCAAGTTAGCAAAAGTGAGCAGAACCTCCTTTCAATCAAACAAACTTAGCTGGTTAAATTAGCCATCACTAGAAAATGTGAGAACGTAGATGTTCCCTAAAACACCAAAACCCTGCCCCAGTAGAGGTGTTTACAATGCCTGTACCAACTGTCCAGGACACTTCCCAAGGTTGGAGCAAGTGCAGGCACCTATTGTTCAATATGCTGATATATTATTATATCTGAGAAATTAAGTGGAGGTGTAAGATGTGATCATTTCATACTCAGGAGTCAGAACTTTCACTGAAGGAGGTATCTATGAGCTCCTGTAACTGCACTGCTGGCAATTATTTTTAAGAAAGTAACTGGAGGGTGGACTACAGCTTTCCTGGTTAAAAACAAGTATCACTGACGACAGCTTAGCAACATTCAAACAGCAGACAATTATACAAAAACTAATTCATTTAGAATAAGGCACAGGAGGCTATGCCTCAGAACTATGCATTTGCAGGAAGATTTAGTGGAGAAACACTTCACAAAAAAGAAGTCTGCTTCCAAAGCAGTTCCTATGAAAAAGCTGCCTATAGTTGCAAAAGCACTATTCTGACACTTGGGAGTCCAAAGCTCTGTAAAGGTCGCTGTGTGCATTACTGCATTTATTAAGTGGCTTACATGACAACTCTCAGACAGGCTTTTATCTCAAAATTACCTCAATTCACACTGCAGGATACAAATTCTTTTTATTAAATCGCATTGTAATTTCATGAATTGTAACCAACACTCCTGCACCCAAAATCTGCCTCCCTCATTTTTAGCCTTCTTAAGAAAACCCCTAAACAGAAACATCTGAGCATTTACTCAGATGATCGACACCTCAAGCCCACAAGACTGACAGTTCATTACAAACACAGCAGTACTTCTTTAGTATTTAGTACTAAGGTATCTCACTGAAAAACTCTTGTCACTTTGTGCAAACTTGTCACAAATTCTCACATCAGAGCAAGTGTATTGGCAATTAAAAAGAACAAAGCAGAACTAACTAGATGAGATTTCAATACTGTTTGCATTAGGAAAATTGTACAGATGGACCTTGGGTACTGAAAAAATATATCCAAGAACTTTTCATAAATTTGATGTTCTTTGCATTGTCAAACCCGGTAAGCCTCAGCACTGAGGTGCCTTAGCTGATGACAGTTACCAGACTGTCTTTGAGATCCTGTGATCCACTAGTTTACATATCATTCTGACATAACTCTTTTCATTCTTTCTCAGATTACCCTTTAAAAAAAATTCACCTCATTCACTCTGAATATTTTAAAGGAGTGTCCCTCCGCACCTTAGTTATGAGATTTCACGTCCACAGACACATTTGTTTCTGACAAACTTGTTGACTTCTCTGCTGCTTCATCCTCCACTCACCAAATCTCAGTCTGCTTCTACTTGTGTCCTTGCAGATATACAACTGTCAGCCAAAACAATAGCAAAAAACCTCAACACCAGAGACAGAAGTCCCCTTCTTTGCTCTTCTTCCTCTCCACTCCCCTCAGAAGGGAGAAAGCATTCCCTCCCTGTTTGCTCCTTTCTCGAACAATTGTGGGTAAATTCATAATCCTGTGATGCATGCCAAAAACATTCAGCTGTGAATTCCCTGTCGGCCACCACATTCTGACCATGACTATAAATCTTGTTGCACCTCCCTAAATACAGTCGGAGATAGAGCCTTTCCTACCAATCCATCCAGACTGACAGTCTTGCAACCCAGCTACTGTAAGATTTATTTTCCTCTGGCTTTAACAAACATAATTTAACTCTTTCTCATGTCCATGCAGAAAGTCATTCAAAAGATCACCCTCCTAGCTCATCACCTTGGTCACATTATTTTTTCTCTTGTCTCCCTGGACTTCATCCCCTTCTTTGTTGAGGGAAACAGAAGCCACCAGACCCCCACCTTCTGAGCCTTTCACCACCCACCAGCCCTCACTTTGCATCAGCTGCAGTCTCTGACCTGACACAAAACCAACCTTTATTCTGAACCTTAACACTTCATGCAGAATGCTTCAAATAAAAATCACATACTCTGCTCTTAACACTGCAGAATTCACCAGCTTGTTGGGCCCGTAGGCCTGTTATAATATACTGGCAGAAAGGTACACGTCTTTTCTTCAAAATATCCTCATTTTTTCTAAGACTTAAGAAAAGGTATCTAAAAGCCTAACAGTTTTAGAATAAGAACACTTCTTAAGAACAGCTCTACCTTTGACCAAAAGAACCCACCACCTCACATCTTAATTTCTTCTTCCTTTCACAAAACAGAAACACTCTCTTGCAAACCACAGAACAGTAGCTGGTATCAAAGCAACAGCTCAGAACAGACTTGAGCACCATGAGAAAGGTATCGGCATCATGTATCGAGGCAAGTGTTTTGATATTCCACCCCCAAACAGATGAGACAGGCTTGGGTATGGTGAAGCCTTACAGTAACTCTCATGCTGACGCTGAACACAAGAAGCAATCTGCTCCAGATAGCAATGCAAAAGGCTCCGTTTCCACATTGCTTACAGAATACAACACAAAGGTTGCATGTCTACAACCAGAGTCACCACTGCCATTAGCGTCAGCTTGGACTTCTCCTGTTTTTCTCCTGGGCCAATCTTCAGTTGAATTAGTGATACAATTCAGTTCAGCCTGCTAAGGAAAGGGGAAGAAGCTGCTTTCAGCAGTAATTTGCAGATAGGTCAACATCAGTGAACTGAAATCAACAGGTTACCTTCACTATTCAAAAAAAGAAAATAACTTCATAAACTGGAAACATGATAGTTTAGCACATCTGGATGGTGCACAGCACTGAAGTTTAGATTCATATCAGACTATAAAAGGCCAACTTGTGTAAGAATTACAAATGCATCCTTTAATGGCACTAGAGTTTCATTGGAGGCATATGAAATCAGACTTATCATCTGTCATGTCTCCCACACACGCTTCAAAGGATAGCACTAAGAGAAACACTGCAGTAAGTGTGTGTGACACATACTAATCCACTGTGACATCCCCGTCTCATATAACCTCAACTTTATCATACTTCCTACATTTTTACTGGAATTGCAACTACCAGGAATAGATTTTGTATCCACACAAGAATCTTAAACCGTTTTTAATTCTGCTGAACTTTTACAATTCAGTAGCTCCCCTGCACAATGTAAGAATGATTACATTGTAGAATTTTTAAATTTGTTTTCATTTTTTGGCATCTAAATTACAACCAATGCCTTTCTATCTTTATAAAAATGTAACAGGAAGAAAATTAGTTTCTGACCATGTCTTTTGAGTGCATTTTATATGCTTTATCATGTCTTCTTTTATTTGTCTCTTTTCTTAAAAAGTAGTAAACCCACAACACAAAACAATACCCCCACAATTCTGTAATTTTTTTCAGACAGAAGGAAAGAATATAAAAAGAGGTAAAACTAATTTTTTAATTCTTCTTTCGTGGCCATAATGAACAATGGTTGCAGAAAGACTAATACCTGGAACCACTACTATTACAACTTTTCAAGCCATTTTTCCTCCATTCCTTGTTCATTCTATCACCGTACTACCCTCCCCTCATCCCCAAAGCACAGCTGCTGCAGCATAAGCAGTTTTTCTCCCAGATAAACAAAACAGACTTTTCTTCAAGATGAAACAAGTATTATATAAAACACAATACAGCATATAGCATTCCAATTTATATTTAATATTTCCTAAACTAGCATTTGTCAAATTAATGGTGCTGTATCCACATGCTATAAGCAACAGTAAAAAAAACAAAGTAAATGAAGAAATGTAGGGTTCACTGTATGAACTGGATCCAACATTGCTTGAAGAGCAGCAAGCACAAAATAGTGACCTGCAAATGAGATCGGTACATTCCTCCACTGCTGGGTTTCATGCTACTCAACAGTACTTAGTTGTATACTAACACCACAACCACCAAGCTGTGATATACAATTGTGGAGAGCACAAAATTAAAGATCAGCACAAACAGATGGTCTAACAAATACCACTTTTCAAAAATAGATCAATAAATAAATAAAATCACTATGCATGTCAGAGGCCAGACTCAGGAATCAGAGTATTTTATCGCTTTAGTTAAAACTTTTTTTTTTAATTAAGTTTATCAGGTTTCCCTAATTCTGACCTATGTGAAGTACTGCTTTGAGGACCCTTTACAAGCATTACGCATAGCACTACCTAGGTAAGGTGCAGCTATATTCTGAAAAAGTCATATGCCACAAAGAGTCCATGTTTTACTAAGTGAGACTTTGGTGGTCCTTTTCTTAACTGCTAAACTTGCAAATGTAACTTCCATTTTGAGGACCTAAGTAATTTTTTGCATCACAGGTAAGGGGTTGCAAAGTGAAGACACTTTTCGCTATGTTAATGAAACCTATTTTTATTTAGCATGCCTCAAATGCTTCCTTGCTCAAGCCTCCTGGCTTTGAGACTATGTATAAACCTGGCTCTTAACTTCACAAACACGCAGAAGCCCACATCTTAGTGCTTTGTTTGGGCTGGTTGGTTGGTATGTTCGGGGAGCAGAGGAGCAGGCAAAGGGAGGTGCCAACTATGCTCCAGAGGAATTTAGTTCAACTCTAATAACTCAGGTTACTGGAATGAAGAGTTTTACTTGTACGTATTCAAAAGCACTCGTCCAGAGAACACAAAAATTCATCTTATCAAATCTGTCAGTTTTCACAGACAACCTCAAACTTCAAAAACAGAATAAACGCTTAAAAATGCCAAAACTAAAACTGTATATATGCACGCATATATGTATGAGAGCATTACCCAAAGAAAATCTGAGATTAGAGAAAAATTTTCATCACTGATTGAACAGCATTTATCCAGAGAGCAATCAAATAAGCAGATAAAGTTTACTGTTAGCAAATCTGATTTTTGTAAACTGCAAGATCTTAACAACATAAGGTTTTACTTAATTTATTTTTTTCACTGACTCATATAAACCCAAAATTCAAATTTAATGAGAGGGCAAAAATGAATAGCCTATACACTGGCTTGAAAACCTCAAAACACTGATTTCCATTTCAGCTGACTGAATTGCTGCTCTTTTTCTAGTAGTTCTAGAAGTTCTATGGTAATTCAGCTGCTGAGATTCTTCCTTACCAGGCCAAAGATCTGCCCGACTACCTAATGATGCTTTCCACAAGAGCCAGGAAGATCGCTTGCTAACATGTCATCTTTCTGCAACGTTTTTGTCACCAAGCTTTACAATACCTTGCATTTTACTGAAAAAAGGAAATCATCCACTTATCTATACAATATTAAATGATCAGCCAGATGTAATAGTGTTAGATGCAGGCCAGTCATATCACATAGAGTGGCAGAAAATTACCATCCTCGGGTTTGATCAATGCCTTCAGCAATGAAGTCAGCAGGGAAAGCATCTTCAAGTTCTTTTTTGTTTTCAAATGGGTAATGGACTTGTGCATAAGGCATGCTTCCACTCTCAAACCAGCAATCAAAAACTTCAGGGACCCGGTGCAGGAGGCCCTTTCCACAGCGTGAAGGGATATTTAGGTGATCAATACTACGGGAAAGAAAAAAATTGACAAAATCTAAACAAAAAACAGAATTAGCACAAAAAGTTAACATTATGCTTGCACGTTAGCTATGACAGGACGTTTGGTTTTCATTTAAACAATACTCCAAAAAGATCAGCATTTCCTTTGACAATTTTTATAATTTAAAGCTAGAGACTTTTTGTATTAACCGTGTCCAAAACAGAAAAAAGGAAAATTTTATACATGTTAATTGCAAGTCTTACATCCTCTTACTACTCTTGTATTTTCATAGAATCATAGAATGGTTTGGGTTGGAAGGGACCTTAAAGATCATCAAGTTCCAACCCCCTGCCATGGGCAGGGACACCTCCCACCAGCCCAGGTTGCTCAAAGCCTCATCCAGCCTGGCCTTGAACCCCTCCAGGGATGGGGCATCCACAGCTTCTCTGGGCAACCTGGGCCACTGCCTCACCACCCGCACAGTGAAAAACTTCTTCCTAATGTCTAGTCTAAATCTCCCCTCTTTCAGCTTATACCCGTTACCCCTTGTCCTATCACTACACTCCCTAATAAAGAGTGCCCCCCCGTCTCTCCTGTAGCCCCCTTCAGGTACTGGAAGGCTGCTGTCACCTAAATCTGTTTCCCAGGGTTTGGACAAAGAAAAACCACACTTCTTATGCCTGTTCAACTATTTCTAACAACTACTTAACAGTCTGTGACCAACCTTTCTCGATGGAGATCAGTTACTTTCACTCCAGACAGCTCTTCCAATTCTGCCACTGAGCCAATACAAACTATCTGTAAGAGACACTCAAGAAATTTAGTCAGTTATTCGCATACAGTAGCTTTTTTTTTTTTCTTAAACACTAGACAGGAGACTTGTAGGTCAGTTAGTACCTTTCAAAGTAGCTGACAGAGCTGAAAAGCCAACAAAAATCTTGCACAAGGTCCCCTTCAATGTAACAAAGCAGCAAGTGATGTTAGGGACCACTGCCCTGATTTAATGCCATTCATGTCAGAATAATTGAAGACTTCAAAGAACAAGTATGTTGTCAGATATCACAAAAAGGTGGGGTTTCGTTGTCTGGTTTTTTTCCAAGCAACCCACAACACAATCACCTCTGAAAATTCAGTGATCGTGATTTTTATCCAGATAAGAGTTTCAGATACCAGTTTCCTCTTCTCAAGCTAAGGTAAGCAGCTAAATTGCTCATAATTGAGTGTAAGTGTTCCATCACAGGTACACTAAACTGTTCATATTAATGGCACCTTATCTAAAGTGAAAAAAAGTGTTACAGGTAAGAAAGAGGTTGTTAAGAAAGAAAGAGATTTTTCTTCATTTTATTGCATCAACAACAATTTAAGATAAAAGCAAAAAGTTCCGATAATAGACTTGCACCAACATCATGAAATGTTGATGAAACAAATGTTTCTGAAAAACTGTATGCAGGAGAGAAGGAGAACAGCAAAGCTGCCTTTGCCTTATATTTTAATCAAGTTTAATCCTCCCAGAGCCTTGTGGCTCTCTCTCATCTGGCACAATTCAGGACCCACAAGCTGCAGTACAGGTCTGGCTTTTGGAGATCCAGTCCCACATGGTTATCGGTCCAATTTAGAATTGCCACAGGAAAAAAAATGGGGTTTGACAGATCTAACAGGGAATTAATTAAATGTACCAACATAAAGAAGCTGTATGTAGGCTAGACATTTTTCACATAAGGTAACTTTCTAAGTTGCTTTTAGGATACAGTAAGTCAGAGTACTGCTCAATTCCTATAGCTAGTCTTAAATATATGCATATGTATACATATAGAAATTGTGACTAACAAAAAGGTTTTTGGTGTATTTAATGCCAAAGAACCGTCATGAGTTACAGAGAAGACAAACTCAGACTGATTTGGTTTTTAAGCCATGATTTTCCTAGTCCAATTCAACTGCATTACTAATCAACATGTTTTACTGCTAAAGTATTTTTGAAACTTAATTTTTTCATTACTTGTCTATTTGTCTTATTTTTCTATAGGAAGTAAAGCATTACAATGATTACAATAGCCAAGAACAACAGTCTCCTGTCTGCACAGCAAACCACACCAAGGGATTGATCCCAGTTAAAAAGTATGCCATTGTCAACAAACTTTTTTTAACCCAGGTCTGTTCTTCTCTCACTCCGTGGCCCCATTAGCAATCATACAAGCTCAAGTGAGCAGGCAGCAGGTACTTAGTTCAGCACTGCTGGCAAAGAACAGGTTTTAATAGCAGCATGGGTGAAGCATACCCTTGGATACGCCAATCACTTCACCTTTGCTAACCTGAATATTTAAACATACTTTTACACTGTGCCCTGGGTTAAAAGCTGCCCATTAGCTGCTGTTGTTTGAACCAAGCATTTCAATACTCAGGTAAGATTCTGAATATTGGATGCATCTGCAGAACTGCATCCAGCAGAACACATTCATAGAAGAAATAACTCTGAGTCCACATGAAAAATCCAACCACCACCACAGGAACACAGGTATGGCCATACTGAACAAGAGTGCCTCTGTCTAAGTGAGAATGATGGAGCTACTCTGTCCCAAGGGTAGGTCATTAAACACTTGAGGGCAAGAGGACAATACAGCAAGTAGATGCTAATCAAATCCGATCCCTCATTAGGCTGCATCCAGTTGTTTCAGCGAGAAACAAAGTGGTTTATGCTCTCAAATCAAAGCTATGGCTTCAGATACATCTCTTCAACAGCAATGTCTACTGTAGCAGCCTGGCCCCTTTTCCTACCAGTCACTTGTTCTTCCTCCATTTTATTTTTCAGCCAGATCAACTACAAAACCAGCTATATCAGCATTTAATAGCAGACAGCAAAGACTGAAATATATAGGCTGGGACTGGGGGCTCTTCAACCCTGTTTCTGCATCACCAAGTGTCGTGGGTTAAAGACTGCTTAAAGTTAACTCTGTGAGGTTTTTTTTTTTCTCCTTCTTCTTCATAAATAGCTAGCGAGAGGCTGTGTTTTGGATTTACGCTCAGAGAAGCTGATAAGAGAATAATGTTTTGTTCTGCTGCCAAGGTCAGCAGACGAGCAAAGAGGCACCGCCGGTTGCTAGCATAGGATTTGCCCTTATGTTAAAATTGAAACTCAGAATAGCCAGTGATTTATTCCATAACATGCACGTCATTCTCAGTATATAGATAAGAACACCCGGAATAATGTTCTCTTTTGCCTCCGCTCCGCTTT